GACAGTACAAAGAGAATAGCATCTAGGGGAGAAGAGACAAGACAGCTGAGAACTTACCTTGCCTAGGAACTTTGCAGAGTATGGAGAAAGCTGGAGTGGAAGGGTAGTGATTACTAGCACCTAAGCTACGCCATTAATACTCTTCAGGACTGTGACATAAAACCTGATTTAGCATCCCTCTTCAGTTCTAACTGCCCACAACCCACTCCTGAGCCCTGGCATCAATTAGACCTAGGATCTTGATGGCCCGCTGTCCTAAGGGATTAACAGAATTTAGCTGTGGCGGTGCACAGCAGCATGGCGCCATGCAATCATTGTAATTAAAGTACATCACTAAATTTTTAGACTTCGGTAGAGTAACAGGTACTTACAGGTCTTGTTAATACAAAGAATACAAGAAGCTAACAGCAATGAACAGTTTAGGAAGAAAAAAGAATAGAAAAGCACGAAGAACACACACAAAAGTTCTCACCACTATGTCCAAAAGCAGAAATAAAAGGGACAAGGGATAAGAACTGAAAACTATTAAGAGACAGACGATAACGATCCATATGAAGAGAGATGGGAAATCTTCTGAGTGCATAGTCCTGAAGAAAGGCATAAAAAAATGGCTCCAAAGGAAAAATGATCCAAGTATACTTAATAACCCCTTAGCAAGCCATTATAAACACAAGGGAAAAATCTCTTTCCCAGATGTGTAATCTGTCAAAATTCCTGCCACAGGTATCACAAATGCTAAGAGCTTAATAGGATTCTACAAAAGAGTATCATAAATACAGACACTATGAACAGTCAACCATTATCTTTAAGCAAAGGTAAATACTGATAAGACATGCACATACTCATTCCTCAGAGCTTAAATCAACACCCAGGTGACAGCAAATCTTGCACTTGGAATACTTTTGCTGTGCAACTGAGAGCCATGCAGAGGTCTCCCAGCAAGCACTGATCTGAACTGGCCTGCCTGATGGCCAGAGCAGTTCTCAGCTATGTGTATAGAGGAGGGCTTACACCCTGAAGCACCAGGCAGCAACATTACTCCCAGTCCTGGAGAAGGGCAGATGCAATAAATATTTTTGTGAATGCACAGTACTAAGCAAATAACCATCATCTGTCTTCTAGGAAACTGTTTGTCTTCGCAGAAAAGTTTGCAATTTCCTGTGCATGAGTCAACTGACTGTGTCTGGGCCCAGTTCCTTCCCAGATATATACACACATATGTAGTATAGACCCACTGTTTTCATTCCACTAAAAAGCTGCCAAGGAACTTCAGTCTGAAGCTAAATATCAGACACAGTCAGAAATTGCAAACATTGCCTCCTGAAACCAAACCAGGCAACTGTAATTAGTCCCAAAACTTAAAGTCTGAGAGATGCTCAGAAAAAGATATACTGAGGAAAAGGTTAATAAATACTGAACAGCAAGAAACATTAGAAGAGAACATAGTTGGGAAGGAGGAGTCTAAAATTTAGTTTAGAAAACACTGATCTGACATAGCCAGACTGTGTGTATACACGTTCTAAACAGGTGTGAAAGCCTTATAGTATGCCTAAGCTTATCTGCTCAAGCACAAGGCAGCAGGGACGTCCAGCTAGGTCACTCTGACTCAGCTCTCTCAGGGGTTTCTCTGCTCCTTGTTCAGATTAATATTCTTGGCAGATCACATGCACCCAAAACCAGGTTAATTTCTGAGCAAAACTCCTGAACTGCAGGATGGCTTTCTCAAGCACAAGCTTCTGTGCCAGTAAAATGGCACCTCACAGGTAACAAAGTACAATGTTATGCTTAGTAGACAAAAATCATGACAAAATAGCAAGAGCTGAGAGGGGGTAAGAGGCCTAGAGACTACAAAGCAGCAGTAGTAAGTACGCTCTCAAAGGAAAACACACACTCATCTACCTGAAATCTGTGCACAACTTAGACTGGCTTTCTGAAGTGGCCCGGGCATCTGTCTTTCTAAAGATATTTCTTGGTTTCATTTGTGCAGCCTGGCAAAGTTAAACTTTGGGTTAAACTAAACCATGTGCACAGACTTTGCCATTTCAGTACCTCTCACCCTCAGGAGTGGGGTTTTTCTTAACATTCCAGAAGAGCTAATTTTTACATCTATGCTTCTTTGTAGTTTCCATGGATGTGCAAACACATACAAACTGGATAGTTTTAGTCCTTCCAGCATAGACTTATTACTTTGGTTGGTAAAAGAGGAAGGGAACTTCTGCCCTTACAGCTTTTGTGTGTCACACAGGAAATGGTGCCATCCATGAACCTGAGTCTTACTCAGTCATTACTTTTCACTCTGTCAGATCTCCCTAAAGAGACATATATACACTGTCACATTAAGGCATTTTGAAAGACAAGAAACATAAACCCATAGTTTTGTACAATTTCTGAGATTTGTAAATACAGGAAACAGAGAAACAAGTGTATGTCAGCTCTTCAGTCTTACCATGAAGTAGTGATGGTAGGTTCACAGGTGCCAGTGGCAGCTTTTAGACTTTCCAAAGGTGCTTCCCTGTGAAAACGAAGCCGGACTAAGAGTATAACAATTTCATCACACTTCAATAACAAATGCGACATCAAACTAAAACTGTTGGACCAAGCTGAAGAGAGGCAATTTCTCCAGATGACATGACATCACTTTTTTGTCTTCCAAATGATATTAATACATCTAAGAAAACTCTTTTAATAATCAAATAATGTTTTCATTTTTAGATTACCTGGTTGAATAATTCCAGTAACAACAGAGAGATATTCCTCAGGTTCCTGATCAGTGGAAATCTCCTTGCTGCCTCCATCTAGGGTCAGTATCTCATAAAGAATCTCTGAATTCTCCACCCCACAAAGCAGAATCACCACATTATCCGGAGGTTTTAGAACCTGCTCCAGAAAATAACTTCTCTTTCGATTCAGGCAGTTAAGAAGTCCACACGATAGTATCAGGAGTTTACATTTATAACAGTGTAAAGAGAATAGCTCCTGGTGCTTGAAAGATGAAGTCTCTAGATTGTAGAGTAAGATTCCTCCTTCATTCACTATGTGTCCAAAAAGAGATTTTAAATACAAAGCCCACTCTTCTGCTTCTTGTTCATATATCACGAGAATATCCTTTGTATTTTCTAGAGAGAAGAAAACATTTTAAAAAAACATCTTAAATGCATTTTGAATCCATTATAAATATCAGAAGACAGATCGTTAGTTCCCCGCCCTCTTAAAAACTTGAGTTGCTAAAGAAACAGAACAGATCATCACCTTGAAATGACAAGCATCTGCTTATTTCTAGACCGAGGCAGAAAGATCGTCCACAGAAACGGTGGCAAAATTACTCTGAATATTTAATGTTTAGAATAGCTTCAACTAGTATTTCAGAATAAATACTGAAACTGCAGTGTAGAAAGCAGAGTGCATTCACACATTCTGCTCACTCCTAGATTCTTGACAAATAGGTGATACTATTAAAAATGCAACAGTTAGCTTTTAATGGCAGAAGTAAAGAATACATATTCGAACACTGGACATGATCTGACTTCATTAGAAACAGGACTGATATGTTTAGGATATTTTGGTGGCATGGTATTAGGACAGTCATTAGTGATCTTTCTTTGCTGTCTTTATTCTAACAAAATTACTTATGAACCTGGCAAAAAGAAATCTAGAACTACATTTTATGAGTTCTGCTTTCTCTTTAAGATGTAAAACATGATGTTAGTAAGAAGACCAACACTCTTCCACTGCGTTACTAAGGTGACAGCATGAAACAGATGCAACAGGCACAAGCTGAAACACAGAAGGCTCCCTCCGAGCACCAGGAAATGCTTTTTTTACTGAGCACTGGCACAGGCTGCCCAGGGACGCTGTGGAATCTCCCTCCTTGGAGATACTCAAAAGGTGCCAGGCCAGGCCCTGGCTCTAGGTGGCCCTGCCTGAGCAGGGTGGTTGTACAAGATGGCCTCCAGAAGTCTCTTCCAACCTCAACCATTCTGTGATTCTGTGGAACCATAAAACCAATGATTTGCTGATCAATACAAGATACATTAAAATGCCAGGGTAGCTTAATACCCTGGGAGCAGTTCACAATCACAGCCCTGTGGAGCAACAATAAGAGACTCAGGAACAGATAAGCTGCTTTGCTTTACCTTCATCAAACTTCACAGTGTCTGCCAGGTTCCTGATGGGTCAGGCAACCTGACTGGCACTTGTCTGCAGTGCACCAGAGCTTCTCTGCATGCGAGTATCTAAGATTCTTATTTGTGAATATCAAGAGATATGGAAATGGTGGGCACACACAGTTAAAATGTTTCTTGGGCACACAATGGATCTGGATAGTGGGATGCACTGTTGGAATCATAGTACAGATGCAGCTAAGCAGAACAAAACTTGCCAAGGATCCCACATATGTCCTTGTACAAAAGAAGAAATTGAACCTAAATCTCCAGTCCAGGATTACCACTTTAATTATTGTACTTCTTTTTAGAATAAATTATTTCTAAATTTTGTTTCTTCATTCTTTACTCAGGAGGTATTTCAAACAAAGTTTACCCAGCTGAAGGCTGACTGAAACTTGTAGAATAGGGACACTACAGCTTAGTTTCTTGAGTTCATTATAAGTCTATAAACTGCTTGGAGGATAGCTGCCATCTTTTAAACATCTGTGAATACTCATCCTTTCAAAAAGTTTTCTGTCATAGGAAAACATAGAGGGCCATGCTCAATATGGTAGTGGGTGATGATATTTCAAGATGACTAACCCTGACTAATACATTACAGCAGTGTAATATTTGTCAAAATGTACTTGGAAAGCTGACTGCTACATTTTCTGTGGTAAAAGCATTCTGAAAAATGCCTGTTTCTGATGAAATGCTGAAGTTTAAGTGTAAAAATAAATAGTAGTGTATTTCTCACTTAACTCACAGTTATGTGTTTAATGGCACTAGGATAGGAAAGCTACTTGCTGCAATGCTGCAATGTTATTTGTTTTCAGAATCTCACTTGATTTTCCATAACACTCACACACAAAAAGTAGAAACAAAAAGCTATGAAGCTTGCTGAACAGTTTCAAAAGAAGAAGTTATATTAACAGAGCTGTAAAGCCAGAAGCTCTATCAGTCTGACCACGCTGTTTCATGTCACAGGAAACAGAATCACCAGGCACCTTCTATTTTCCATCCCTATTTACTAAAAGCACGGTAGCGGTCCTTTAAAAATACGGATTTAAAGAGGATGTTTAATCCATGAAGAAGATCAAAGAATTAATTCTTTACACATTGTTTGAATTTGCTTAATTTCAACTTCCAGACACAGAATATAATTTTATCTATTTCTGCAAGCTTAAAGAAGTAGCTGCTCTGAGAAATCTGTCCCAAGGTCTTCAGACTCATGAAATGACTCTGAGCCTTGCCTTCAGTACAGTTTGTAAACTCGGATTATTACTCTTTCCACTACAAGAGAGGCTTTGTAGAGCTCCTACCATTCTTTCTGCACTTTTGTGAACTCTCCTGCCTTTTCAAAATACTTTTTGAGGAACGCAAAACCGTATACAGTGTGGGAGTTCCTTGATACAGTGTACAGGAAGAATAAAATAATTTGACTTGAGATTACCTCAGATATGCACAGAAAGTTCACATTCAGTCTTTAAATTAAAAGGTCTCATTTTAAGTTCATGCTCAGCTGCATTTCTTTATATTATGATGGACTTGGGTAAGGACATAGCTAACTGGAATTGCAAGGAGGGATAAAAAAGCCTGTTTAAATTGAATGGTAAAAATATTTTTTTATAGCTGCACAGAATCTTGGTGTCCTGAGTGTGCAGAAGAGGGATATGCTGGTGTCTACCACAGCACCCACTTGGCCAAGAGCCAAAGTTTTTTCTCCATGTAGAAGGAGAGCACTGATGAGGAATGGTGCACAACTGTGTCTCATCCCTGTGTAGACTGGAAGCACCCAAAAGGCATTCCCGTATCCCAGAGAGGGAAAGAACTGCTGGACCCAACCATTCAGGCAGAGTTGAGGAGCTCCCTGTGTGCTGGGCATGAAGGAGTAAGTTCTTTGGTAGAAATATTCTTAACGAGCTGACATTATATAACAATCGTAATAAAAATATACACAAGGTATAAAGTTCACCCCTGTGCAAGTACAAGTACAAGGCTCAAGTACTCAAGAAATTCTAAAGAGAAAAGTGAAGAAGTTGCATTGAAATGATAAAAGAAGATGAAGTAATTCTGTTTTCATGCAGTACACCCGTACCTAAGTCCGCAGCTTTGATCTTAGCTAAGTGTGAATGAGAAAGGAGTTTTAAGATGTTTATTGAAGGCTGGATTGCATTTCTTTTAAACTATATTGATTTTTATATATGAGAAAAAGTGTTATTAGTGTAAGAAAAGGGAGTGAAATATATCTACAACCACACTTGATGGAAGCAAGGCTCTGCAACACACATCTCACGAAACTTCAGTATGGCTGCCTTATTCACTTTGTCCTTTCTATCTGTACACAGAGGGAACAGTAACACTGTTGAGAGACTCATATGAGTGAGGTATTTCGTGCTGCCATTTGGTGAAATGTTTATTGGTTTGAAGAAAGCAGCTAGTGCTATCAAGCTACCTGTGGGAAACCAAATGTCAGTTTGTTTTGAATTATGTGCTTGTATTTTTTTTCTGCTATTGATCTGCCTTCTAGATTGAGATGCAAAGTTAAAATATCACTATTTTGAAATGCTTGCCTGACTTTAAATGTAGAGTTAGTTTACCCTAGGAATAGTTAATGAAGTCCCTTATCTAAAATCTACTCCAGGTGCCTAAAGCTTTTGTCTGTTACCCAATGCTTTTGCATTCAGAAATTTTACTAAGATATAGATGCTCTAATAGAGCTTACTAGAAAATTAAAGCCCACCCAAAACTCTGCCTTAAAAACAGTATCATTTGAACCTGAAACAACAAAAGCTGAAGCCTAGCTTTAATGCAACACTACCCAATATTGAATACACAGTAACAATGCTTAACTCTTCAACTAGAGTTTTTTCCCGTTCATTATTTTCATCTCTCACTGAATAATTCTTTGAAGTTACTGCACTTGGAATGTAATCTAAGTTGAGATGAATTTTGCTCCCTTGAAAGTTAATGTAACAGCAACTATCACATCCTCGCAAAATTAAGCCATGCTTCAACTACTCCTACTTGAAAACTGACTCAAAAGTAGAAATAAAATATATTATTAGTTGTGCAATGAGAAACAGTAAGACAATTCATGCAGTCATCCATAACCTGAAAGGGTTCTTCTGACAAGCAAAACTATTCTCTAGTTACTGGTGTGTGGTTGCCCAAAATAGCACATCTTGTGACACATGTCATCTTAAGCATTCTTTGAAAAGACCTGCTCAATCTTATGAGAACCAAACAAGATAAGAACATCTTTGCAGATTAGTGTGACCAAGCAGGAATCAAGAACTTGCATACATAAGGCAAAAGAACATATTTTTTTATGACAACAATTAAAAGATATAGTACAGAGACAAAAAAAGGCAAGTATATTAGAAAGTGAAAGGAAATCTCAAGAACTCTGTAATGCACTAAGCACATCACGAAGGCAAAGGAAACAAATCAAGACTGGGGGCTGGTGGCTTCTCTTCAACATGCACCTCAGTTTATGAATCTTGCAATCTTGTAAAATATAGTTTCTGTGTGTTTAGAAGTGAGCAAGAAGTACTTGGAAACACTCATCTTTGATAATAACACTGCTAGATTCAGAAAAGTAAGTCCTTTGCACAGATGCCAACTTCCTCCCCGCCTTTCAAAGGCTTAATGTTTGTAGATGATGTGTTTTAGTTCTAGAAGTTCTAGAAGAAAGTTCACCCTTTTATTTCTTCCTGTCACAGATGTCCTCACTTGGGGAAGGGGAGAGTTTGTTATTTTTTTATTTTTAAAGGGCAGTCTTAAAAGGAAAGAGACTTGATGAAGATGTGTATGAACTCTGTCAGTACATAATGAGCTACTGTCCAACAGCAAAAATTTGTTAAAATAAGTACAGTTGCTGAATATCTCAAAGGAGAATTGGAAAAGCACAGAATGGAAGTTCTTGCTCACTTTCCCATATTCTATTGCTGAAAAATTGGGACAACAATATGGAATGATATCCAGTGTATCTTTAATTTTTTCATGAACAGCAGACTACAGTCTTTTTGCAATCTTTTCACAAATATTCAGCCATTCCTCTCTTCATATTGCTTGCTCTGATCACTTAAAATGATATAATAAGGAACTACGGAAAAAGTTCCACTAGCACTTCAAACAACACCTGCAATTTAACATCTGGAAACAGAATGAGAACATTTAATTCAGCACTAAACAGTGGCCTTAGCATAGTGAACGGCCCCTCACCCATCCAGAAGGCACTGATTTTCCCAGTCAGCACACCTGACACACATCCAGTAAATGCATCTCTAGCTCTTGGTTGCTGGAATTCTGCAAGGCAAATCCCCTGAAGCAAGCCAAAATGGATTCATCGCGGGAAGGACAGCAGAAAGCACTTTAGAACTACTTGCAGATAATGGAAAATATTTCCAAGTAAGTCATGTTGCTTCTCAGAGACTTTCCACTAATGGAAATCAAAATTATAAAAGCCTGCTTGTAAACTTTAGAGTGAGATCACGAAGAAGCTAAATTGCTGCAGTGCTGTAGCACACCTGTTTCAATTAAAGCAATTATCATAAAGCATGGGACATTTCTGCCATCACTGTATCAGCCAGCAGAGCGGCTGCGCTTCTATCCTCATATGCCTATTTAACTAACATGTAATAAGAACATTTTCATCATTTATGTACCTTCTGTCGCTAATGCTAAGTTGTGTGTGAAAACAAATACTTGCTCTATATGTATAAAATCAAGCCTCATGTCATCTTCATTCTTCTCACTAAGCTCAGTGAGGTCTGGAGTGGGCAAAATGAGGTTCTACAGAAAGGAGCAATTGCCCTACAAATGGAATGAGTTTAGGTTTGATCCTGTGAGCTTTCTCTGTGAAGAAATTCCATTGATCTTCCCTACAGTGACAATGGGAACACAGAGACAAATAAGTTCCCGTGGTACCTTTGCACAGCATTGACCTGACCCAGGTAGACTAGAAAGATATCTATCAAACCTGACAAAGCTAACATTATGCCCAAAAAGTTGTTTCTTCTGAAGAGTGATATGGCCTTATTCCCTGGTTTAGGCCCCTCTCTCTGATCTGTCCTGTGAATACATACACAAGCGTAATGACTATCACAGTATCTTTGCCTGTGAAGGCCTTCTCTTCCACAGCAGAATACCTACTGATGGACAGATGCTCTCATTTCTAATGAACAAGAATAAACATGAACATGGGACACAGGGGTCAGAACTCAGCTCTCTATTTCAAGGTACACCTCCTCCTTTATCTTGCAATGAGGCAAGATTTTGTGTCATTACAGTCACTTCCTTATGCAAATCACACCTTTGGTAGATTTTAGCAGAATATAATCAGGTAATACAGAAATACTTTAGACATGAACAAGTCATGAAGACAAAAATATACTATGACAGTATAAAGAGCTGAAGTAATATACTACTTTTTCTATGATTGCTGTGGAACAAGTATTTAAGGTCACATGAAAACCTGAACAAGCTGTATCAAGTTTGCATTAACTGATGTTACTGCTACTAGAAACAACCACCAGCTGAAGCTTTCCCTTACATTATCACTATAACTATAGTTCTATAAACTTAAAAAATATTTAAAAATTTCAATTTCAAAATTTCCCTGTTAGGGCAGACCAAAGTGTCTTTTAATTTTTTTGTTGTTGTTATTGTTGTTTTTTGTTTTGTTTTTTAATTGCCAGTGTTTCTTACCAGGATCTCTCTAGATGTGCCCATCCTGACTTAACTCAGGGATCTAGGGATTTATAATCACATTTAAACTCTGCTTATTTAAATTCAGCTTCTTCACCTTTTCTTCTGCCTTCTGTTGCTTTTTTCTCTGCCATCTTTGATTCCATTGATACTTCAGTTTCTCGCAAATTCTTATCTCTAATTCATTCCAAATAAGAAACAGAGAATGGAAAACATGTTCTGCAGATATTACTTAGTGCTAGGGGAAACAGTCTCATGAAATCCAGTACACTTACCTCTATCACAAGAGAACATACCTCAGAAAACGGTGCATATACAACAAAACAGAAAGCACTGATCTTGCAAGCAATAACATTTTGGGCAGGTTGCTGTGGTTCCAACTACTATGATCTGGGGAGGTCACACAGTAGCACTGTTGTCTCAACCACAAGGAAGATGTCTTGCACATTAAATAGAGTAATTTGTACACCAGGGAGCTGGCAGACATTGATCGTCAGACAATCGCCATTATATGACAAAGTTTATCAATAAGTATCACCACTTATTGAAATTTCTGCTCACAGAGATTTCTGTATTCCCTGTATTTGTAATGTGGTCAAATACACTGAGTTAACCATAGATGACATCCCAACAGTCTCTAAGTTACAGATTATCATGGACACTAGAAATCTGTCTTGCAGAACTCTCTTAGAGCAGTCGTAGAATCATGGAATGGTTTGGGTTGGCAGGGACATTCAAAGACCATCTAGTCCAACCTTCTGCCGTAGGCAGGGACATCTTTCACTGAATCAGGTTGCTCAAAGCCCCATCCCAACCTGTCTTGGAACACTTCCAGTGACTGGGCATCCACAACTTCTCTGGACAACCTGTTCTAGTGTCTCACCCATACTTCTCTAGGTTTCCAAAACTATTATGTTTCCTTTGCCACAAGTCAGCAGACTATCCAGGGAGGGCTCCTGACACCCTATAAATCAAATGGCTTGATCTTCTCCTGCTTTTGCAGATTGGTTTTAAATCTATTTTTTATGCATCTCATTTACTTGAGCATTCATCCAGAAATTAAAGGAGATGTGAGAAGTAGTTTCTATTTGATGTATAGCCTGTCTAAGCTATGAGGCTGTAGAAGAAAGTGTCCTCTGGTTTCAGCTCATTTTTTTGTTTTGTCCCTTTCTGACCAATATGTCACAGTCACCAAAAAAACCTGAAACAGTAACAACAGATTCCAAGACAAATCTCTAATCAGTGTTGGACAAACAATTTATACATTTGTGTTGACCTTTTTAACAGCATTCATGCTGATGATGTATGCAGAGGGAAGTAAATGAAGTAGAAAACCATTACATAAATATGTGTAGCTTCATAAAATGAGCAATGACAGAGCTAACGATGAGTTAGAAACCAAGATAAATAAAACATTCAGCAACAACCTCAGTAGAAAGCTGAATGCTCTCTGTTGAACCCACCTCAGCATCCTCTCTACTGCCTTAAAACAAAGATTGTAGACACTAGCTATATGACAAACTACTTTTATTTGTGCTCATCAGACAGAAAGAAATTGAGTTAGTCACATGAATGCAAGCCTGCCTTCGCATAATTTACCCATAGGATTGCAAAATCAACTGCAACGTCCAAATACTTTTAACACTTAAATGAGATTCAAAAGACATTTTTCCAGCAAGCATATCTCCTCAGTATAAGCTTAACACATGCAGTTATCTTCCCTGCACTGCAAAATACAAATTCTCAAATTATTACCAGTCCTAAAATAGGACCAAATTGGAGAGTTACCTACATATAAATTTTGGGTCCTTCTCTAGTGGATAGCCCTCACAGAAAGTTTAATATAACTACTACTGCCTTTCACCAAATGGGTTTCTTCCTGGAAATGAACCAATTGGAAATTCTGTATGTTCAGGTTCTTGCAAACAGATTTATCATACCATAACATACATACCTACCACACTTTACCATCGTTGCTGTATATTCTCACGAAACTATGTCTACTTAATCATATAAACTGGAAGAAAAGTATCTCACTGGTACTCGTAGCTTTTCAAGCACACCATCTGCCATTTCTAGTTAGAAAGGTACAGAATAAAAATGAATACAAATCCTTCTTGAAGCATTCCTGAGACCAAATTAAACCTTATCTCACTACAGTCAGAGAATCTATGTAGTTCAAATACAGTAAAATTCAGAAGCTTGAGGGGGACAGGAGAGGACCATGGAATTATGAAGCATCCTACTTTTTACTTGATCAAGCCCCTCACTGTTTGGTCAAATCTGTAAAACCAAATTTTTACTTTCCTCTTGAATATCCAGAAAAAAAACAAATCTTAAAACAGGCTGATGCTGTCATAGGTCTATTACTGTCTTCTTTGTACATACATTTTATTAGCGTCTAGTTTATTAGACTCCTCAATACACCACAGTTTAACATGCTGCTACATGCTAGCTGCTCAGCAATAACCAACTACATGCTTGATATAGATATGAAATACAATGTGCAGTCTTACCTTTCCTCCACTGAAGTTTATACCATCCATGCTCCATTTTCCATTTATTGCAGATTACTGCTATAACTGCACAAACATCTTAAAAAGACAAAAAATCTCACTGCTACCAGAAGGGGCAGTCCTACTATACAGTTGCTCATACCCTTCCTGGCAACTTATTTTTTATTCGCCACTTCAATCCACTCCCCAGCCTGCTTTGCCTTGCAGTTGCCTAAACAATTCTGTTGACAAAAGGGAAGATAAGGCATTGGATAAATCCAAGACTCTGAAGTCAATGGGAGGGGAAGATTGCCACTTGCAGCAACAGCTATGGCTTAGAGTGAGTCAACATTAATATTCAGTTACGATCATAAGTATACTTTTCAAACAAATCATCTGATTGTCCTCACTTACCAGGCTTTGCATCATCTTTCCGACTGGCCCTGGAGCATATGAACTGCATACCTTTCAGATTAAAGTAAAGCAGAACATGTGCTTCAGATGAAGCACATAATGTGATTCACTTGCTAATGTCATTGGACCAGACTAGAGCGAGTTCAAAATAAACTCCCTTCCATGTGCACTGCATGGCTCTCAAGTCCTTAGCACCTTAGCACTGCCGACGCCTACAAAGCCCCTTCTGTAGAGAGCGCTGTTTACCAGTGTGGAAGTAGCCTTCCAGCATCTGGGAGACGAAGTCCTGAGAGTGCTCAATGACTTGGCCCTTCAATGCTAAACCATAGTAACAGGAGCACGCATCTGAGCTCCCACTCACTCTTGCACACTTGTACCAATGCAGGTTCCTCAAGTGATGCTTTTGAACATAGTCACTTTCACTGAATTCATAGCTGGTACAGTCTGTGACGCTATATGGTCCTGTAATATTTAACGCACTTATAGGTACGTAATTGGCTAATTAGGATTACAACAAAATGAAATGCTTATTATGACATCAAAATTCAGCGAACAAAACTTTAACAAAATACTAAGAATGGAAATATCCAGAAAGAAAACACCATGTTCAAGAGTCATTTTCAAAAAATGGAAGGTGCTTAAACCTCTTGTGAAACTTCTCATCAATCTGATCTTCAAGTAAGAAACATAAATCTACAAAAAGAGAGGAATTTAAGTTTGGAAACACTGCTCTAAAGACTCCTACCGCTTCAACAAAGACTTAGATTCTTAACTGTCATTTATCCACCACTGCATTGTTTCAGTCAAGCTTTTTTTTTTTCTCCCCCCTTGATCAGTGTGAAAACTTTGCTCTTATCACTGTACTAAGCAAAACAGACTGTTTTGGGGAAAGCATGTACATTTTGGCAATTTAAATTTTACAATGTTCATCTGTGACATAATTGTGGTGAGAGAAATTAAATAGTATAATTGACTTTTATAAAATTTTCATAAATGTAAAGGGGCTGCTGAAGGGAAGCACAAAGGACTAGCTTTTCATAGAAGTCTCCACAACATTAAATCCAATGAATGAGCTGTCACAGCTTCAAAGGATAGATCTGCCTTTTTATCATGTTATTTAAGGCATGTTTTAAAGAAGAGGTTGTGTACAAAATGAATAATAATGATTATTATACATGTCATCCACTATGAACAGTATGGACTTAACAGCATGTGGGAGTACAAAATTTATGATATACCTTATCTGCTTGCAAGGTAAAATACAAGAATATGGATTGCCATTTTAATGAATTCTATAAGCTTCAGTGTTGAAATATAGGCTACAAGTTTGCCAATGAAACAGAGTTGTTTTTAAACTCTAATAAAAAAACAACTGACAATAGCTTGCCAAAAGCACTACAAGAAAATGAAATTGAAACTGTCCTGAATGTACCTTGTAAGCAGAATATAATCCTGTTTCCAAACTGATAAATGTAGGATCTGCTTTAAACTTTCAGAGAAAATATCTTGCCTCCAATTCAATCATTACAGACTGCTTCACACATTCAAGGTCAAATTAGATTTGGCCTCCTCTAAAATGGTTAATTGAACAGGGAACAGAATTGATAAGGGAGAGAAACAAATTTGGAAGTTTTGATGATAAGATTATGGTGTTACAAAAACAGAATGCAAGTATGAAAACCCCAGAAAGTTTTGATTGAAAACACTGGCAAAATTTCCTCTGACAGTACGCAGCAACATAGCTTCATTGATTAAATAGAGTTATTCTGACACACACTAGCTAGGGAATTGGCCTTACATTTTTACAGGGAGGAAGTATACAGCAATGGGAGATTTAGTGAAATCTGAATCAGACGGGGGCGGGGGGGGGAAAGGTGTATGGAGTTTTCTGCAATTTTATTGGATTTTCTAGATAATATTGAACAACCTTTCCATGCAAGACTTTTTGTATTATTTGATTCAATCTTTATTAAACTTTCTGGTAACGTAGCTCTACCTTTTAAAAATAATATTTAAAAGATTCAGATAGATTTGAAATGTAAATTATCTTTACATGTTGAAAGTAAGATTAAGCTGCTAGAAATTACTTTCTGGACATAGCTAAAATCATTTAGACATGTATAAAGATGTGTCGTCTATCTGGTTTACTTAAAGGCCTGATGAATTTGCTTTGAAGTATTGTCCTGGGTTTGGCCAGAACAGGGTTAATTTTCATCGGAATCCAGGAAGGGGCACAGCCGGGGGGTGGGGGCCTCTGTTTGCTGTTCTGTTAAACTGCCCTTATCCCGACCCACCAGTTTCTGCCTCTTTCTTTCCATTCTCCTCCGCACGCCGGCGGGGGGAGGGGCGGCCTCGTGGAGCTTTTGTTGCCGGCGGCAGCCGAAACCAAAACAAATATGTATTTCATATACTTAAAAGAAAGCTAATCAAAGTCAGAAGGTACCTGTGTTTTGCTGTTTGTATGGTTTTGTTAATAAAAAACATTGATTTCTGTCAGTCACGCACATTGTAGTTTAACAACGAGCAAGTGCCCAAACCTTAATAAATCAGAGGAACACCACATTTGTGGCTTCTGATAAAAGTACTGTTTGTTTTCATTTAGTGTCCACTACCACATCAGCATTAAACTGCTTTGAAGCCTGTATTGTATTTAGCCTTTCATTTTTACAGAAGACACTAGCATTACTTAAGATGGGGGCTTTTATTTTCGGTTCTTAAATGGCTCTAAATTGTCCCTGTTCAATTCATTCCAGGCATACTATATTTTTTCCTTTCAGCTATTTAAATTGTAAATGTTCTTGAATAAATGAAAATCATGAATAATAGAAGGGTGCACTATACGAAAATATGTTTAACATATTATTCAATTTCTTAGAAGTTCAATTCGTAAAAGCTATTTCATACTTTTTTCTATTTTTTCAAAAGCTTCTAGAATTTGTCATATTTTCCATTAGAAAATACATAATGCTTACTATTTCAATTGTACTGCTAATCTGATATTAAAAAAACAACAAAAATCCACCACTTTTTATTGACTACAGTAAACAAATTTGAATTATTTATTCTTCATAAGTTAAAGTCCCCCCTGTGCCATAAAGAACTGAAAAATGTAATACACAGGGTTTTTGCTATTTGCAGGAAAGTATAATGATAAATAGCAAGTAAAAATATCATTACTTCATTATATTTTGACAGGAAAATAGCTTGTTTTGTTCAAGAGACAGAACTCATGCACATCCCCAACACTGACAAACTTGGAGGGTAAAGTACGTTAAGGAACAAACTGAATGGTATGTGTATTGTCACACAAGGACTTGAATGCAACAGAGAGCCTTTGACAGGATCTCAGGCAGATTTAGGGGGGTGGTGTTGTTTATGATTTAGCCTGACATTACCTCTATTCCTTGTAAGAAGATTCTTTCATCTGTTTAATACAGTATGTCTAGAGTAGGGGATGTAGGATCAGGTATTAGCTCCTAGATTCAACTGTACATTAATATGGTGTCAGGGCAAAACTCGGGCATCCACGAAAACCTGTCTTCCTTCCCACCTCTTCTCTTGGTTTCCATAGAAAACAAACCCAAGAATGTGAGCTGGACAGAAGCTGAGGTACACTTCAGCAGAAAGACTAGACAAAGCCATAAAAGTCACTTGGCTGATTAGATGGATGTCTTCCTTGTGGTTTTAAAAGGTTTTACTAAATACAGAGTAAGATGGAGAACCTTCTAAGAATGCAGTCTCCTCGTTCCTTCCAAATTCTTCACCCCAAACTCATGTGCAAAATCAGGAAACTGCTAGAGCATGTTTCACAAGGGCAAAGAGAAAAACAAGAAATGTGTGCAGGAGCTATGGACTTCAGCGGTACAGGAAGAAAAGTTTTCTTACAAGATGAAGGAATTAAGAAATAAAGACATCTACTAAGACATTCTAGTGGAAAAGGGGAAAGACATTTGCAGTTCTTTTATTCAGCTATTAAAACCTGCAAGATTCAGCAACTCACTTGAAGTTGGTTTATCAGTAGGTACAGAGGGAAAAATACAGAACTTGACAAAGGTATTGTATTTCAGCTATGTAGTCTTACATGAATTGTCCCCAGTTCTTAAACAGAAGCAATAGCAGTTATGAAAATCTCCACTCTATTTTTCTAAAGAACATCCTTAGGTACTGTCCTGGTTTTGGCTGGGATAGAGTTAATTTTCCTCCCAGGAGCTGCTGTGTTTTGGATTTACTATGAGAAGAATGTCGGTAACACTGATGTTTTTGGTTGTTGCTATAAAATCAAGAACTTTTCCCAGTTTCTTCTATTCAGCTAATGAGCAGGTGCGCAGGAGCTGGGAGGAAGCATAGCCAGACAGACAGCCTGAGCTGCTCAATGGAAATATTCTATACCATAGACATCACTCTCAGTTTATTAATGGCAATTGGCGGGGGGAGGGAGGAAGGTATTAGCTCTTCTCTTGTCCAGGTGTTCAAACATTTTTTTTGAATTTTGTGAAATTTGTGATTTCAGGGTTCTGCAATTGCTGCCTGGGGACTGACGGTAAATTGGTCATCAGGCGGTGACAAAAACTGCATTGTATATAGTTTGTTTTGCATATTCATTATTATTAGTAGTAGTATTTCCTTTGTTGCCTTATAAAACTGTTTTTATCTCAACCCACTAGTCTCCGCTTTCACCCATTTCTGCTCCCTATCCCGCTTGGGGAGAAGGGGAGGAATGAGCAAGTGGCTTTTGGGTCCTAGCTGCTGGCTGCTGAGTTAAACTATGGCAGGTAGATACACACACACTTTTATACAAACACATGTACATCACACCTACCACATGCAAAGGAAATATTAAAAATGCCAACAGATCACCAATGAAGTTTTACCAATTTTTTACCCATTTTCTTTTGCTTGCTTTTCTTTTTTGATTTTCCAATTTTTGTGTTGTATTTATCAACAATGAAATATTGCAGTATGAATCCGTACTTGACACAAACATAGATCTCAGCTGTAGAAATAAAACTATGAGACAGTACATCCAGACAGCTGGATATGTTAGACAGCATTTCCAAGAAAAGCCCACTACTCTTAAGATCTGTTTTGACGAACACGCCACTGCATTGACCACTGGGAAGGTGGAACATATGCTTGTAAAAACATCTTTCTCATCTCAGCATCCTCCAAGAGCTTCTCTGGGCAGGAAAGCTAATCCCTGCATTGCACATTGCAAACCACTACTGCATCCAAATTCTGCACAGATGCTCAAAAAGACTGCAAAAAGTTGAACAGGCTTTGAATTTTTTTTTTTCAGTTAAAAGCAAACATTACTATTTTACTATTATTACTATCAAGATACCTTCATCATAATTTTTTTTAGTTAGAGTTAAGGGTCATGGATTTGTATCATTAAGATACTCTTATCTTGGGTATCATTCCTCATTTTCTATGTCATTTTTGGACTAGCTGTTTAATTTAGGACAACTTACTAGCTTTCTTATTTTTTTTAAATATTACCATAGTGTTAAAGTGACTCGTTCAACACCAAGATAACATAGGAAGTTTCAATGAACTATGATAAATACTGAAAAGAACAAAATTCTTCTGTGCAGCATCCCACCCAAAGGAATTCTTATTGCTAGGACTATCATATTCTTTCTCTAGATTAGTTTTGGGTCTATTTGCACTGCAAAGAATTGCTGTATGAAGACTTACCCTTTACTTTCTTCTCACTATTGCATCACCCTGAATATTTGACTCTTTCTGACCTTGTCAGAATTACATTTCATTTGCTTAAAACAGCGTGGGGCCTGTAATTCACTGTATTCACAACAATTTTTTCTCTGATCTGACAGAAGACACAAATGTGTCTTCTACATGTGCCTGAACATTAAAAACAGTTTTCCAGCATTTTACATATGAGTAAGAGAGATACCACTCTAACCACCATGTTCAAGTCGATTTTATAAACAGGCAGCAGAAGCAAGTCATAATAAATATAGAAATAAATAAATAAATGTATTTTTATCCTTTCAATGCTTTGTTTCCCCACAAGTTGAAAGATACTGCCCTGAAAGTTCACATGCAGCTGATGAGTTAATATTCAAGTTTACTGCAGACCTGCATATTTTCAGTATCCGCATTATCCATCCAAGACTTCAGTTCAAAAAGACTGAGTACTCACAAATCCATCTGTGGCAAGGCATAACAGCGATTCCGAAGCATTTTCAAGTGAAGTCCCAAGCATTTCCAGGAATGTAAACAAACAGGCTCTTAAAAAACATGTGGTCATTTAAGAAAATCTATCGTGAACTGTCTGTCCCAAATTTCCACAAAAGCTCATCTCCTAAAAATAATGGGAACTGCTTGACATTACACGTTTTTGAAAAATCTTGGCATCTTTTTCAGTAACATCTGTCATTCACTTGTATTTCTGAAGTACACCGATACTATCTTCATGATCAAAAATGTAGGAAGAAGGAAGTTTGCTTTCCTTTCCTAATCACTGTACACATTACTGTGTACTTCGAGGTTTGAATGCTCTGAATCAAAGCTCAGGTGGTATACTAGTAAAACAGCGCGCTCTGATGAAAGTAGTAACCGAGTATCACTGGATGCTGATATTCCAAGTAGGGTATACTCAGGCAGTAACTATATTTCCGATAGATATGTTGTGAGTTTTCATTTATCATAAAAGTGATTTCAACAGACTGCTAAAACAGATTGTACTTACTGTTGTAAATTCATTTCTAATAGTATTTAACATTCAGCAGTAACAAAGAGTCATTAGTTGGCAATTGGTCATATACGAAAAATGACTGCTCATCACCCCTAAGCTTACAAGAAGCAGTAAACCATAGCCATAAACTGCAGCTATTTATAAATACCTATATAAAGTTTCAAGTCACTTACAGCTGTTAAGCATGTGATCTGAAAGCAAAAGGGTGCTTTCCAAACTCAGCTACATCTCTGCTTGAACTGTCTCAATGTCAAACATATGTAAGCCTTAACTTCTTTAATTGTACACAAAGACTCACATAAACACTGAAAAACAAAAGTAATGATAGGACTGCTTAAGACCAATTTGCTTTAATTGTCAGGCCTGCAATAGCATAAATTATATTCTGTGGCTTAATATAAAGCCTTGCTTTCCTAATATGCAGGGAGCCAGTGAACACTCAATAATCATCCGTATTATCACATGAAATAGATCCCAGTTTAAAATTTACATCTTGGTATTTGTGAGTCTCTTCTTATCGCAGCAGTTTCAAAATGCACAGATATTTAAAATACCATTCTGAACTTACTACTACTTTTCTTTACATTTAATGAAACCTAGCTGTTTATCACAGATCACATTGTAATAGTCTCATTTAATTTATATAAAAGGTCAGGGAAACTTTATTTTTTTAATGATAGCCAGAAATGACTGGACCTCCCAGGAAGATATAATTATATCACAAGCTACTGCTGCTGTTTGCATTGTTGCACTTAAGCTTATTAGAGGAGTTAAAACATTCTTTATTACCTACAAGCAAATAAGGGAGTATGTAAGCTACCCAAATGCTCAGACCAGCTTCAAGTTTGCAAACAAGAAAACAGCGACACTGTGGTTCTTGAGCCACTGGACACAAATGTTGCACTTTTCAGAAATAGAGATCGCTGCTCGTTCTTTCACCTTTACTGTGGCATCAGCGATACAGTTTTTCAAATGTGGGTGGTCAATTGCTTGTATGCAAACTTCATTAATCACTGCGTGCAACAGAAGGGAGACCAGAGAGGATTAGCATAAGGAAAAATCTCTTGTTAGGATCAACTTTTGAATCTGGATCAGCAGCTCAACGCTTCCAAAGACAAATGACAGCTTTGTGTTAATTATAAGGTACTTGAGTTTCAAAGCTTAATGGATCCCATTTTTCTTTTTCCTCATACAATATATTCTTAAAATATAAAATTCTAGTTTCTAGCCAACAGACTCGCCTGCAAATGTTGCATCTGGAGTACGCATCACAGTAACTTCTTTATCCACGGTGAAGATTTCCATTCTTACACTTTAAGAAGACAGATTTCAGCTTTAAAATATCTCAATATTATATTTTTTTGCCTCATTGCAGAAATATCAAAATGTTTCATCAATAATAAAAAATAGGAACTTCCTTTCAGAATAATAAGACTGTAAACAGATGACAGCAGCTTTTGCAGTACTGGATTCTTTGATACTCAAATTACTAATACATTATTATTAGTAATATTAATTATTCATATTATGATGTTATTGCTGAATCTGTTTCAAAACTCCACCACTAAACCACTTAGATTTTGAATCAAATCATAGTCTGAGACCTATTTTGTCCCTAGAAGTGAAGGAGCTCAAAAAGTTTTAAGGCTGCTAAAAATTCAAGTGATCCCCAATTCTTGAGGAAAACCAAAATCAAGTATTATTTGGATCTATTCACTAGCTAGAATCCTTCACAGAACATCTGTCATGTAAACACTGTCCCAGAAAGAGTTGGAAGCACAGAAATGTACATCGGGTAAATAAAGAGCACACAATGGAAAATCTCAGTGATTATGTTCATGAGTATGGAGAGGAGTGATAACTCAAATATGACATAGCCATTAACAAGTTACCCTGTCACTGTTTCCTTTCTCAAGTGACGGCAGATGTCATCAAGGACCATGCATTACAGATGTTTCATCTCTACCAGGTACAGCATGTTTAATGGAATTTGCATGAAGAAGTTCATCTAGGCTAGGGTTTCCTACAAAGTACTGACAAGTAACAAGTCTGTCTCTCCCACCAACCATCCCAAACAGCTTTCAGATTTCAGCTAAACTAGACCTTGGGCAATACACCCAAAGCAACTTCAATACCTCACAGTCCCATTGGGAGAAAACAGAGCTCTTTTAAGCGTGGAAAGAAAGGTTTGGTGCTGTGGTAAGACTGCAAGAGAGGAGTCTATGCATGGAGGTCCCAGGCAGAGGATGAGGCTGGCACAGAGCAACACATGAAAAAATGACACAGACAAATGATGACAGAGTAGAAGGCCAGCATATTCTCTGTTGGCTGAACCTACAGTTACTTGTTTCCCTGCCAATGCCAATATGTGGAACCAGCTGCAAGCAGCTGGGAAACCAGCCATCCCTCTTTGGTGCTCTTATGTATTTGCTCAGCAATTACTCCAGCAATTTCACATGCATACTCAGGATTCAACTGCCATTATTCGCCAAAAGCCAGACGTTAAACTGGATGTCCCTAGGTCATGCACAATTGTATACCATCATTTATGTAAAAATGATCACTAAGCAAACATCTGTGACTGTCAGACTACAACTGACTGTTCACATCTAGAAATACCTGTTTGCCTAATAACTGGAATAGCACATACATATTTAGAAATGCTATTAAACGTGTGGGTTTGCTTACATGCACTACTTTTTTACTTTCAACAAGCTTGCAATACTGCAAGTCAAGTCTAGATAGAAAATCCTAGCTAGCACAGGCTAGATACTAGTAAAATGACTACATCCATTTTACGATCAGGCTTGCGTACAAAGCAAAGCAGTCCTGAGTTTTGAAATTTTATCTACAACTAACTTATTACACAACAGCTGGGAAAGTCACTTGGCTTTTCTTCTCTAGTGTTTTCATCCCCCTCTTAGTAATGCAGGTTGGCGGGGACGAGATAGCAGAGAGAAGTCCCAAGGCCATCAAAAGGGACTTCAGGGCACTGGGGCGACTGGTTGAGGGATCAGGGGCACAGGTGGTGTTTTCCTCCATCCCATCAGTGGCAGGGAACAGCACTGAAAGGGGCAGGAAAACTCACCTGGTTAACAGGTGGCTCAGGGACTGGTGCCATTGGTCAAATTTTGGCTTCTTTGATCATGGGGAGGTGTACACAGCATTCGGCCTGCTGGCGACAGGTGGATCACAGCTATCTCAAAGGGGAAAAAGGATTCTTGGCCACGAGCTGGCGGGTCTCATTGAGAGGGCTTTAAACTAGCTTCGAAGGGGGAAGGGGACATTGCCCAGCTCACTAGGAATGAGGCCAGGCTTGGTGTGCCAGGGTCAGGGGTGAGATTGACAGCCCAGCTCAAGTGTGTCTATACCAATGCAAGTAGCATGGGCAATAAACAGGAGGAGCTGGAAGCCATTATACAGCAGGACAGCTACGACTTGGTCGCCATCACAGAAACGTGGTGGGACAACTTGCATGACTGGCATGCTGTCATGGATGGCTACAGACTCTTTAGGAAAGACAGACCAACAAGGAGAGGTGGGGGAGTTGCTCTATATGTGAGGCAGCAACTGGAATGCATTGAGCTTGGCCTGGGGGCAAGTGAAGAAGGAGTTGAAAGCTTGTGGGTTAGAATTAAGGGACAGGCTCACACGGGTGACATTACGGTGGGTGTATACTACAGGCCACCCGACCAGGAGGAGGAGGTTGATGAAGCCTTCTACAGGCAGCTGCAAGCAGCCTCACAGTCACAGGCCCTGGTTCTCATGGGGGACTTCAACCACCCTGACATCAGCTGGGAAGACCATACAGCTAGGCAGGCGCAATCCAGGAGGTTCCTACAGAGCATCGATGATAACTTTCTGATGCAAGTGGTGGAGCAACCAACAAGGAAAGGCGCGCTGCTGGACCTCGTGTTAACAAACAAGGAGGGACTGGTGGAGGACGTGAAGGTTGGAGGTAGACTCGGCTGCAGTGACCATGAAATGGTCGAGTTCAAGATCCTGCGTGGAGGAAGCAGGGAGATAAGCAGGATCAAAACCCTGGACCTCAGGAGGGCTGACTTTGCCCTCTTCAAGGAGCTACTGGGAGGAATCCCGTGGGCCAGGGCTCTCGAAGGCAGGGGGGTCCATGAGTGCTGGTCGCTCTTTAAACAACACTTCTTCCATGCACAGGAGCAATGCATCCCCCTGAGAAAGAAATTTAGCAAAGGAGGCAGGAGACCTGCATGGTTAAACAAGGAGCTTCTAGCGGAGATCAGGCAGAAGAGAAAGGTCCATGGAATGTGGAAAGAGGGACAGGCCACTTGGGAAGAGTACAGAAACGTAGTGAGAGCATGCAGGGATGCGACGAGGAAGGCCAAGGCCCACCTGGAATTGAAGCTGGCAAGGGATGTCAAAAACAACAAGAAGGGCTTCTTCAACTACATCAGCAGCAAAAGGAAGGCTAGGGACAACGTGGGGCCGCTGCTGAATGAGGCGGGTGTCCTGGTGACGGAGGATGCGGAGAAGGCAGAGCTAATGAATGCCTTCTTTGCTTCAGTCTTCAGTGCTAAGACTGGCCCTCAGGAATCCCAGGCCCCGGAGGTAAGAGAAGAAGCCTACAAAGAGGACGACTTTCCCTTGGTCGAGGAGGACTGTGTGAGGGATCGCTTAAGTGATCTGGATGTCCACAAATCCATGGGCCCCGATGGAATGCACCCACGAGTGCTGAGGGAGCTGGCGGATGTCATTGCTGAGCCACTCTCCATCATCTTTGAGAGGTCCTGGAGGACAGGAGAGGTGCCCGAGGACTGGAGAAAGGCCAATGTCACTCCAATCTTCAAAAAGGGCAAGAAGGAGGACCCAGGGAACTACAGGCCACTAAGCCTCACCTCCGTCCCGGGAAAGGTGATGGAGCAGCTTATCCTGGAGGCCATCATGAAGCAAGTGGAAGAAAAGAAGGTTATCAGGAGTAGTCAGCATGGATTCACCAAGGGGAAATCATGCCTGACCAATCTGATAGCTTTCTACGATGACATGACTGGCTGGGTAGACGAAGGGAGAGCTGTGGATGTTATCTACCTTGACTTCAGCAAGGCTTTCGACACAGTCTCCCATGATATCCTCCTGGGGAAGCTGAGGAAGTGTGGGCTGGATGAGTGGTCGGTGAAGTGGATAGAGAACTGGCTGAATGGCAGAACTCAGAGGGTTGTCATCAGCGGCGCTGAGTCTAGTTGGAGGCTGGTGACAAGTGGTGTCCCTCAGGGGTCAGTACTGGGCCCAGTCTTGTTTAACTTCTTCATCAACGACCTGGATGAAGAGTTAGAATGTACCCTCAGCAAGTTTGCTGACGACACCAAACTGGGAGGTGTGGTAGATACACCAGAAGGCTGTGCTGCCATTCAGCGTGACCTGGATAGGCTGGAAAGCTGGGCAGAGAGGAACCTGATGAGGTTCAACAAGGGCAAGTGCAGGGTCCTGCACCTGGGGAGGAACAACCTCATGCACCAGTACAGGCTTGGGGTGGACCTGCTGGAGAGCAGAGAGGGACCTGGGTGTCCTGGTGGACGACAGGTTAACTATGAGCCAGCAGTGTGCCCTGGCTGCCAAGAAGGCCAATGGGATCCTGGGGTGCATCAAGAAGAGTGTGGCCAGCAGGACGAGGGAGGTTCTCCTTCCCCTCTACACTGCCCTGGTGAGGCCTCATCTGGAGTACTGTGTCCAGTTCTGGGCTCCCCAGTTCAAGAAAGATGAAGAGCTACTGGAGAGAGTCCAGCGGAGGGCTACAAGGATGGTGAGGGGACTGGAGCATCTCCACTACGAGGAGAGGTTGAGGGAACTGGGCTTGTTCAGCCTGAAGAAGAGAAGGCTGCGAGGGGACCTTATAAATGCCTACAAATATCTGAAGGGTGGGTGTCAGGAGGATGGGGCCAAGCTCTTTTCAGTGGTGCCCAGTGACAGGACAAGGGGCAATGGGCACAAACTGAGGCACAGGAAGTTCCGTCTGAACATGAGGAGGAACTTCTTCCCTCTGAGGGTGACGGAGCACTGGAACAGGCTGCCCAGGGAGGTTGTGGAGTCTCCTTCTCTGGAGATATTCAAGACCCGCCTGGACAAGGTCCTGTGCAGCCTGCTGTAGGTGACCCTGCTTCGGCGGGGGGGTTGGACTAGATGACCCACAGAGGTCCCTTCCAACCCCTACCATTCTGTGATTCTGTGATAATGAGAGTAGTAGGTAGAGATGGCTTGCAATGCTAATGTCATTGGAATGCTGCATTTGATAATTAATATCCAATATGGTTACTCTTATGTTATAAAATGATACA